AAGCTCTCTCCTTAATATAAACCAGGCCACATGTTATTCAAGCCATCTTCTCAAGGCCAATCTGATCAGATCAAAGCTCAACATTGAACAGACTCTGTCAAAATAACATTCAGTTGCAATAATGCAAGTTTGAGAAAGGACGATTTAGAAATCTTTGTTACTGCAGGAACTCGATCTCAGGCTTGAGGGTCTGCAGCTTTACAACATGTTTAACACAAGCAGTGACCAAATTCGCACTGACAAAGACCCTATTTATCTCTTCTCTCTTTCTTTTTTCCAGCATTGCTTCTAAACATGATACTTTTCAGTGGATGACTCACAGATGTCACATGCCAGAATCCAAACTGAGCTCTGTGAATACGCTTGACAAACTAAAATCTTTCCAGTGTGAATGTAAGCCTCGTTACTGGACAGTCATCTAGAAAATTTCACATAATCTTTAGTTTCTTTACTAAAAATTGCAAGACCATTGACTTGGCCGCTTAAACTTTCAAACTATAAACAATAAAAATGTATGCGGAAAAGTTGATATTCATACATTTTATTTACAAACTATCGTTTTAGCATTACCTCATATTAATCTCTCAGGAATACAGATGTAGGATGTCGTCCTTTCCACTTAACTCACTTGAAATTGATAAAAATAAACTCTTGATATATTTCATGTGACTGTGCCTGTGGTGCCTGCAGTCATTTCTGTGAGACCAGACGTCAAACAACACCTCACTTAACAAAAGTGTTATTAGATGAAGCCGCAAAACCCAGCACAGCGCGACAAAACTCTCAGAACCAATTGTCGTGATGACGCTTTAGCATTCTGATTGTCGGAAGTCATCTGAATATGACTGTCCTGGTTTGTGTGAAAGATATTAGTCACACCAACGCACGTAGTTGCACACAGTCGTGCTTTTACACACAAATACAGTATTTGCATATGCACATTGCCAGCTCGCTGGATTTTGTCATTTTTATGAGCCTGTACTGTAACAAGGGGAAGACTGTGTCCTGGTTCAGGGCACTTCAGAGAACGTATGCACTCTGCTCATAAATAAAGGCCATGCATTATTCAGGGCTGCTCCTTCAGCTAATGCCCCTTAATGTGCCCAAACAGCCATAATGTACTCAGCTACCAAGGTGGCAGAGACCCCCGCACTCACACACACAGGGAGATGTCAACCCTACATTTGACACACTGTGTTGTCGGTGTCGCTCTCAGGCTCTTATCATGCTCTCAAATTCTCCCATGTTCCCAATTTTCTAAAAAAAAAAAAATCCATTTTAGTTTTGATCCAAATTGCTCCTGCTCACGCTGTCTCGCCATATTTCCATTGAACTTTGCTCAATTTGTCCCTGATTCTCCATCTTCAGTCTCCATCTCCCACTCCTCCCACATATTTTTCATCATCTCTTTTGCTTTGTTTTTAGCAGAGAATGTAAACCTGCTGTTCTGCTCCTCTTCGTGGCCCCAGGGTGCCAGCTCTTTTCTGAATTAGGATTTTGTTTAAACATGGATTTGTACTGTAGCTGTGAAGCTGCAGCAGCGAGGCTTCCTAAGTTTCTAATCTTTATGCATTTTCTGGGGAAATTGAACTAATTCCATTAGGAAGTAAACAGGAAACGCATTTTTTTTAAAAAGCCCTGAAAAACCATAAAAGTTTCTTAAGGTGGAATGTTTATCACTGCTGCTTTGCTTGTCTGCATTTTATCAACGGTGTTTTATGTTCTAATCAATTTGGCCGTTTTACCATCTGTGGATTTAGTGGCAGCTTGTGATCCTGCTTTTGTTTTGGCCTTTGCAGAGTACTTTAACTTTTCTGAAGTGTAATACAACTCAAGTTTACAATTTGTGTTTGTCATAAGAATTATGATGCAGGTTTGAGGCATGTTTGTCTCAGGAGACATTTGCTCTGCTACTTTTTTCATGTTAAACATTGAAACATCTAGAGCACGAAAGACTTGCACTGGACACTACAGTGCTGTAGTAGTGAGTCTTAAAACCTGAAACTGAGCATTTTTGTACTTCCAGGTTTCTCGGTCTGGAGTGTCTGGGTTTTTTGTTAACACAAGGTCAATACATTTTCACCTTTTGTTTTATGTCAAATGATTTTTATGTCTTAAAAAAGGTGGTGGCTAAAAGCGACTACAGAGGTTGTCTGGGATTTTATACGACGTCATAGAGACTCTTCCACTTACTAGTCCACTGTTATCGCCTCCTTGTTTTTAATCTCATGCACTTGCAAACTGTTCTAACTGACATAGCCATGATCACTGGTTAGACCAGGTCACATAAAGAGGAAAGGATTCTGCAGAAGAGGAAAGCGCTATAAGTTGGAATCCGTGGTATTGATGCTGAAGTCATTTGACTATGTTATAGTTCGTTTATGTACTAACAGAAGCTTTTTACTTCTGGTGATTGTATATGGGCTTCAAACATCATAGTGGTGTTCACTTGTGAGGATTAGCTTCCTGAACAAAACATGTAAGTGTTGAGGGAAAAAGGGTAATGCTAACTTCCGGGTTGGCCTATAAAAAAAAACACCACCATTCCTACGGCGCTCTACTGGTTGAATGTTAGTGATGTCATGATTCACATCATGTGCATCAGGCTGTTTGATTACTCTGAAAGTCTTGGCCGAAATTGTTAACATTTTATTGGCTGGATTTCTACCATTTTCTTTACCTTGTTTTTGTTTGTGCTGCTAGTACCCTATCACGAGCAAGTTAAAGATGCTCTAATCAGGATTTTCTATTGGATTTTCTGGTCCACAACTTCACTGCTTTGGCTCGCTCTCACCTCGGGCTCCTGTTTTCAGATCAAATACTTCAAGCACCAAATGGCAGATATAGTTGCTGAAGCGTTTAGCAGCTACAGCGTGCAGAACAGCCGTGTAATTTTTATGGGTGGAATACAGAAGCATGAAGAATTTTGAAGTATGTGCTACTGAGCAACTTTCTGAGGAATGAATATGAGCAATGTTGTAATCCACTGTCTCCTTAACACCAGACCCTCTAGCAGCAAAGGAAATCTGGAACAGTACCTTTAAAGATTTTACCCTGTAGAGGAAGTTGTGGGGAAAAAGTACTGATCAAGTTAAAAACACAGACACAGTTTTGGTAAAATGTTCTGTCCAGTCCAATTAAAGCTAAATGATCTGTCATGACTGGACTGATATCTTTGATGAGTTCTTTAAACGTCTTTGTTTAGTGAACGCTGTGATGTCATTTCTGGGAATTTCCAGTGGAGTTAGTTTCTATGGTTCTGACCTTTAGTCAGCTGGAGTTGGACAGTCATAGTTCACACTAACTCTCCTGCTCCTCTTATTAAAGCAGCAGTGTAACACATGACTGCCCATGGTTCTTATTAAGCCCTGAGTTTCTGTGTGACAGTGTCAAGTTGCAGAACAGCAAATATTTACATGAAGTGTTCATGGCTGGTTACTGCCACTGGGTCACACAGTTACTAAACGTGATCGTTGCTTCCAGGACGCATCAGATCTCGGTGGAACATTAACCTCTCATGTGACACTGATTGCTCACGGTTTGTTTTGAGACGCACAAAACACGCCCCCTCATTCAGCGTGCACACACACAGACCAGACAATGACTCCATTCATCTCTAGGCTCGGTCTCCCCTCTCTCTCCTTCACTGCTCACATCAGCTCATTACAAACACACTGACGGTCACAAACACAACACTTCACAGCCTCGCTGACCTGGATCTGCTCCTGTTGTTTGGTCTTTTCACAGTCTGTTTTCTCTAGAGCAGGTGATGTTTCTCATGGTATCATTTAGTCGTATAGGAGAGAGGAACAGTAACTGGTGCTTCCCAGGTTCTTCAGACAGACGTAGATACAACGTTGTGCACAATTCTTGTTTTTAGTTTGGATTATTTGACATTATTAGAAGGAATATGTTAAATCAAGCAACAAAATGCAAAGGATGATGCAATAAATTTTGTTTTTTCACTTTGGTCTTTGCAACAAGTCCTTCAAATTAAAGCACTGTAAAAAACTTGGCGTGTGTTTGTGCTTTCTGATCTGATGCCCCTGTCTGCAGGGCATCAATTGAAAGCGCCTTCCACAGCCATACTTGCTTCTAGAAAAAATAATCTGTTTTATGATGTGACAAGACTGCGGTTAATGTTTAAGTGTAAGGAAATACCCCTGTTTGGGTCAAAATGGCTTCTTTGTTAAGGTTAGGAAATTTTGGTTAGTAAGGGTTAGGGTTAGGGGGGTCATGGATAAAAGAAACCAATGCTGACAGTTGGCAGGAAACCAGAAACAAGCAGCAGTCTCCTGTAGTCTGACTCTTTGACCTGTCCAACCACACTGACCTTCTCACTTTGTGGCTCTCTAGTAATGTCAGCCGACTCCCTTCTTTACTTCCAGTGAGCAAAAAAACTATAACTATACTGTAGCTGGTGGAGGTCTTTGCGCTTTTAATGTGAACAAATGTTTTAGGCATTAGGCTTAAATATTGCCATTTCCATCTTGGTGTGACTGCAGGAGACCAGTTGTCTCCCTTTTTAAAACTTATTCTGATTCCCAGCACTACAAGCCATTAACACTAGCTCTTCAGGTGCCCCCAGCCCAGTGAGCTGTAAGAGACTCAAAACTTCCCCTAAAACAGTTTCCTTTACTTTACATCCCTCATAACTCATTCTTGCTGATTTTATGCTTCAGTGCTCTTACAAAAAAACTTCATCCACATGATGAATGAACCTTCACGTACTTTCCCCACGTCAGGATTTGTGATTTAATAGCACAACAAGCTACTCAAAGTTTACATCTGTGCTCTTTATCTGATTTTATGAAATTCCTAGATTCTGAGGTGCCACTGATACTGTAAAGGTGCAGTCACACTGCACAGCATGAAGCAGGACTTGACACAGTCTTTTGTACATGTTGCACCTTGTGTAAATACTGACTGTGCAGGGTGTAGTGATGTTTTCAGATTCAACAAAGAGCAGATAGCGAATGAAATAAAGGAAGAGGTCTTACCTGACTGATGTCTGTTTCCCTCAGAATCTGCAGCGGTGTTTTTCTCTTCCTCCTCTTTTACTACTACTTCTCTTCCCCGTCTCTCTCCTCCTTCCTTCCTCTCTTTAGTTTTGCTCCAGCTTCCCGGGCTTCGCTGAGGAGGTGTGTGTCGAGAGTCGGAGTGTGTGTGAGAGAGAGCTGGTAAGACAGCGACTCTGCTTTGTGCTGCCGACCTCGGGAGCGTGTTGATGCAACTGAGAGAGGGAGGGTAAGAGAGAGATTAGTTCACATCTCCACCTCAGGGAAACACCCTTCTCTCTCTCTCTCTCTCCCTCTCCTCCTATTTCCCATTTTCTATTTTATCAGTTGTATTTTACTCATCAGATTTTCTCTTCTTTCATCTCATCACCTTGAAGGACTCATGGAGCCAAACATTTCTACTCTCCTCTTCCCTTTATTCTCCTGTTTAACTCAAGCCAATCCTCCTGTGTCATTCTTGGTTTTTAACCTTCTCCTTTGTTGTAGTTGTTCCCGTATTCCCTCTTCGGTTTGCTGTTGAATCATAAATAAGTTACAGTTGTCTTTGTGCCGACTCACAGAAGCACAAAGACAACAAACGACCCATATATCTCTGATGGTCTCCGTCTATGAGCTGCTGCTTTTCATTTGACTTTGTATCAGTGAAATATTTCATCTTTTGCACATTAGACATTAAAATGTGAGGCAGTAGGTGGAGAGAATCTCTTCACTGTTCAAATAGTTCAGAGACAAACTGCTTGTTAATGGCTGCTGAATAAGAGCAGGTGGCTAAAGGTTTTAGTAAATGTCATGATGCTGAGGGTTAGACAACCAGAGCAATGATAATGTAAACAAACTATTTATTTTAGATGTAAAGGTCTGATCGCAGTCACGACCTTCAAGTTCCTTTATCAACTCGTTTTTACCTCTTCAGTTAAATACTGAAAAAATCTCCATCTTTGAGGTTAATGTGTTCAATAACTGAGACCTAAAACCATCATTAAATTAAGACATAAGTAGATTTATCTTGAACTAATGCACAAAGTTCACTGCACTAAAATCAAGAAAAATAAATTTCATAATTCAGACAAATGGTTGGGAGCAGAATAAAATCTTCTGTTCTCTTGTTCCACATTGACTTGGTTACAGACAAATGCCTTGGTAAAAAGAATAATTTTACAGTTTTCCAAATTTGCTGACCAGCTTAACACCTGAATGTCTTGCAGCAAAACGGGGGAAGGAGAAAAGAGCTGAGCCCCTGAATGCTCACTGACAGGTAACTGAACGAGGCAGCAGACAGTTTAACCTTGAGGAGACCCCTGCTCGGTTCTGTTTAAGCTCATCGCAGCGATTACAGAGTTTAGCTTTAGTCAGCGAATCTGTTTTGGATTAAAGTGCTCCTGGGGAGGCTGCACAGAGGGGGTGTCTGTGGGCGTGCATTAGTCGATGGGAGTGTTTGGACACCTCTGTTTTGGGTCTGTACTCTGGCCTGTTGTAGTTGAAAACAAACCATGAGAACGAGGTTAACACCCAACATTGTAGCTTTGGGTTGAGGGTGTTTACATGCAGTTGCATCTACAGATCATAAACTATTCTATTCATAAGAAGGGCCATAAATCCTACTGTTCACCAAATGGATGTGAACAACCTTAAGGTGTTATTCTATTATTTTCTTTAGCCTGTCTTTGATTGCTTAATAACCAAATCTGTGTCCTGCTGGTTCCTACTGAAGTCCTAAATCTTTAAATAAGAGTCACAAATGTGTAGTTTCCTTTTATCAGAAGGGCAAATATGTTCCCAAAACCTTTGGGTATTGTAACGTTACTCAAACAGAAAGAAACTACAGTATGTGTTTGAAGGAACATGACCAAAACATGTCACCCAGTACAAGTGGGTGGCTCAGTTCAACAGCGTGAGGATGACACAGATGCTCCGTGGCCCAGGGCGCCGTAAGGTCGGCCTATATTGTCACCTTTTCTTGGGATTTGTTGACAATAAGTCAACGAGGTTAGTTAAAGCTTGAGAAATGTTCATCTCTCCCAGACTCCAACCTCCTCCTCATGAATTTGGTGCAGTTGAAGGAGGTCACGCTGTTCTATATATTTTATGCCTCTACAGCAGATCAGGTTGGCATAGTCATCAGGTTTCCATTCAAATGTAGTGCACAATTTAACCAAATTTCCAGAAAAGTGTTTCCATCCACTGTTGAATTTTCAGATTTCTTTTTTTTGGGGGGGGGGGTATTTTTGCTAGTTGAGCACATTGAGATAAACAGCTGGAGTAGTGCAGATTCTGCTGGGTGCCAGTTAGCAGCTGCAGAAGAAGAGGGTGAAACAAAATGAGTATAACAGAACAAAAGCAACGTGAACAACATGATGGAAATTTGTTATTTATTGAGCGCCAACAACGGCACCTCAGGAGACCCCTCTGTAAAAACCCTGAAGTTTGCAGATGATGCAGTGTCATCAGTCTCATCAAGACGGTGACGAGAGGGGAAGTTGAACAGCTGGTCCTGTGGTGCAGTCACAACAGTCTGAAGCTGAACATACTCAAAGTGGTGGAGACGACAATGGACTTCAGGACTTGCTGATGATTTGTCTCTTCAGTGGAAGCTTGGACTGACATTATACATCATTTAATTAACCAATTTTGTTCTTGTTTCACTTTGTGGTATTTTATTTGTATCGATAGACAAACTTTTCTTCCTCAGTCAAGCATACACATTTTTTCCCCCCTATTTTTTTGCATTTCCACTCAGATTTTTATGAGGAATCAGGACCGAGTTAGGAGCCTCCCATCTCTCTGAACAATGCTCCACCACCAGCTCTAATGTGGAGTGTCTGTTATCCTCATGTTACTGCCGAGGGCGGTGAGGTTTTCTTTTCCACTCCAAAACACAAAGCTAACCCACTGTGGAGTTTCTCTGCAGGGGGTGCACTCACTGAGCCATCTTCCTCTCCCTCTGAGACCCTGTGAGACACTCAGCTGGCCCTATGCCCCTCCTCGTCTTCTCCCCTGTTACCTCCCCCTCCCCCCATCTCTCTCTCTCTCTCTCCTTTCATTTGTCTCCCTCCGAGACTTGGGTTAACTATCGCTCTGATCTGCCTCTCTGATCACTTTCCTCCCCTTTTCATCTCCTTCTCTGTGTTCAGATCTCCGTTCTGTCTCTCTATCCCCTCTCCCCTCTTACTGTTTCTCAACCTCCTCTGATCCCTCTTCTCATCTGTCACCTCAATCCTCTGCTTTTTACAACTTCTTGGGAAACACTACCTTTTCTTTCTTCTCTGTTCTCCTTTTTATTCCATTATCTTCCTCTCCTTCCAAGCAGCAAAGTGATTTGCCTCTCGCTTAGGCCTGTGAGAAAATCCAGGGACTTGGCTGCTCTATGAGGCAAAATCTCTGAATAAATAACCATGGGTAATTTGCTCTGAACCTGCAGCTCAGTATTTTTTCACCCTCACAGTTTAGAGAGAGGAGATAAAGACACAATAAAACGGTGGGAGATCCTTACAGAGGCTCATTATCTGGTTGTCAGTAAAGTTTTCTCACAGGGCTTTGTGACGGATGGTTCAGTCCCACTCTGCTCCATCTACTTCTTTTTCAAGGCAAATTATCTGTGTTACAGTCTGGTTTTTCCAGCGGCTGTGTATGTGGATGAAACGCCTCTCATTTAAGGGAGTAATGAACCGCCAGTTCTAGCTGAACTAAGGCAAATTATTGAGAATAAATTGTAAAACTTGTCAAATAGAACTAACAGGTATTAGCAGTGCTGCACCTCACATGCCCTGCATATGAGACTCTGTTAAAGATTAAACAGCTTATGAGCAAAAACAAGACATTTAATGCAATTAAATAGACGTGTGTCCATCCTGAAGGTTGTAGCTGTGGACGTGGTGTGTCCATCCTGAAGGTTGTAGCTGTAGATTAATTCTCTCTCATTCAACTACAGATACACACTCTACCATTCATGGTGAGAGAAGTGTGTCAGCGCCAGGTCAGCCATGAACATCGGGTATTAATAATGCAGGATGGGAAGCAGCCGCTCTTTCTACAAAGTTGTATGCTGCGACTGTGCATATCAGCTCCCCAACCCACCACCGTGAGCTACACAGGCCCAGAGAGGTGAGTGGACAGGAGGAAAACCTGCTGAAACACCTTTCACAATGTGATGAAACAAACTGGAGCTATGAAAATGTGTGGTTTGAAATAATGTCTGCTATCCAAATGTCAAACTGTTTAGCTTTGTTTTTAATAAATGGCCCCTCCAGGGTTTCAAAATCACACATTCAGTGCATCTTTATAAAGAAATTGCACTGACATTTTGCCACAATTTTTGTATTATTTTGAGCAAGGGAAAATAATGCAAGTCTACAGATTAAGAGTGTGACGAAGTGATCATCAAAATATGTAATAAGTAAAGTTCATTTTGGTAACTTGGTCACCTTAATACAAAGCCTGGGGGCAGGTGCTGCCTGACAAGATGAGTTCTGGGGAACAAAGGAATCACTGATTATTCCTCTCACCATTACTGGTGAAATAGATTTTGATTAATGTCATGGATTGGTTATATAACATAGTGAGCAGTGTTTGGCTTTTTCACATTCTTCACTTCACTGGTTTCTATTAGGTGTTTAAAAGGACAAATCATAAAAGAGGCAACATCTTCAAAAGAAGCCTTTCAGCTGCTCTACTTTACAGATTGGAAAGGCCTTAAAGAAAATGTGTCATTTGTGTTATTTGGCTGAATAAACAATGATTGAGTGTTTAGGACCTCTGGGTGGACTTTGTTGCTTGTATTGATAGTAGTTGTATGTGTTAAATAAATTCACATTGTAATACATTTGGGTCTTTGTTCTGCTGTGTGAGCATTTATGTACCCAGCAGGACACTGTCTCTTTATTGTGATGACTTTGATCATTGTGCTTAACAGCGTTTTGTATCATTAATAAGAAAACCAAAATTTTATAGTTGTGCTTATTGCTCCACTGGCTGTGAATGAACTGATTCACAAAAGGAGCTGAAACTAATTCTGTATGACTCATGCAAATGAACAGACAGTTAATAATAACCAGTTCTTATCCACCCTTCATCTTTTTTCTATCCCATCTTTAAGTTAATACATGACCTCTATGACCTCTCTTTGTTCTTCATAATCATGCCCTTCCTCGCTACAGAAATCTGAACCTCGGTTGTTCTGAATGTGTCTGA